TGTCTCTGCAACGTCTCCACTTATCACTAAATCAAACATACTAAGAAAACAATTCAAAGAAAAATAGCTGCAAAAAAGACTTAGCACTGGTTATGTTGTGGCTTTAAAACAGATTTGTTTTGTTCCCCGCTAAAACAAAGTTTGTGAATTCAGTTAAATAATTGTTCAAATATATCTGTCATTTGTGTGTTTTTAGCTTTCTTCCTGTATGGGAAGCTTTTCAAAATTTGAAACATTAGTGCAGTGGTTTATGTTATAATAAACCTTTGGGTTAAGTTGTCGCAAGCGTGTTTTTCTTGTTTCTTGTAAATTTGGTCTTAAAATTTTATTTCAAGTGGCTTTAAAAAGTCTTAAAAAGTCTTGAATTTAACTTGCCTTATGCTGTAGGAACCCTGAGCACAAATTCTGCATACTTTTATTACTTTTTTTGTTATGTGGAATGATAGAAAATACTTGATCTAATGATATTGCTCAAGCAAAAAATACTAGTTAACATCAAAATGTATGAGAACTGAGTCACATATTAACCTGTGGGTTACATAAACTTTAAGAAGAATGAGTTTTTTCATTAGCATATTTAGATCACAGATTTTAGGTGCAGTCCAATATTGGTTCCACCATTCTTTTTTTTTTTGGATGATATTGGCCTGATTTCCATGACCAATATCTGAATAAGACGTCACCAACTTATGATATCGACTCACTAAAAAAATACAACATAAAAAACTTCACTCTTACAGGAGTTAAAATAAACACATTTTACTAATACATATAAATAAATTACCTAAACAGTCTATTTGGTACATTGGAAATTAAAAATAGATTTATCTTAAAGGTGCCGATGTAGTTTGATTGATTTTTTTTTTCTTTTTCTCTCCATATTAAATCAATTTTTATTGGTTTATTGTTAATCATTTCACTGATGTGACCAGTGTTTTGTCACACACATGGTGATCAATTCCTAGGAGACTTCATAATTTTTGATAATATTAGGTGTTGATAAAGCGATGGTTTCTCCTCCCTTTCAGTTTGACCAGTGCTGTTCCATTAGTATCAGTATTCTATAACTATAAAAGTTATGTCAGCTAGATGATTGATGATGAGGTCCTTCCTGAAACCTAAGAAGTATTAAAGCACAATAGCTCGCCAGTATCTGCTAATACGTGCTATCATTGAGCCATACTGGATGTTAACCTTCTTGTTAACTTCTGCTCGCACTGCTGCAGGATCTGCTGCCGTTTGTCCCCCGCTCCGTTCGCTTCTAGACTCTGACCATCTGTGTCGTGGTTTCAGTGGAAGGTTAGCTTTCATCGGTGATCAGGAGGAACAGCTAGCTGTGGAGAGGGAGTTCTCCAAACTCCCCCGCCCTCACTAACCAGCAGAAACTTCAACAGCTGTCATCTGCCTTCCCAAATGACCCAGCTCTCCTTCCAGCTGCTGTCCCAGCACCCTTCTCCCAGCCCAGTTCTCACATTTATTCCCTCATCCTGCCCTAGTCCCACTTCTTTTTCTGCACTCAGCCACAAACTCGATGCAGGCACCTTGGCATCCCCATCCTGATCAGGTTTTATTTGTTGTTAATATAAAGATAATGTAAAAAAATCTCAGTTTTCTGTTTTATCTGCTTTTACAGAAATGCTAGATGTGATGTAACTGGTTTTACTAGAATAGAAAAGTTACACTTATTCCAACTGCTACTGAATAGAATCGCACACGTTTTCTTATTTACATTTATGATTTTTACAACATTGAGTTACGGTAGATAATCAACCTCTGCATTAGGTTGAAAAAGCTACTCCACTGATTATATTTTTTCCCTACTCCTGATATGGTAGCAATAGGGAAATAAACAAACTGATGTTGACTAAATAATCAGACTATACATAACTGGGATGTTAATAGACATAACTGTAGATTGTAAAATTCTTAAAACGTGAATACCTTTAGCTGCTTGATCACGAGTATTTATTGTTTCCGGGACTGAAGATAATAAACTGATAAGGACGAATCTAGTCTCTCAGCCAGCTGACAGTCAGTGTGCAGCAACATGCCTAAGAGAGAGATGAGTGTCCAGCTTTGAACTTCCAGTTCCTGCTAAAAATGGATTGATGTAGATTATAGGGATTTTAACATGATGTGGATGTCGGTAAATACAGAAGTTAAAGGACTGTGAGAGTTTGTGTCAAACTGTGGATCTTACTGTATATTGCAACGTTCATTCATTGATTTATGAAACCTCTGTTGTTTTTGGCATTTGTTTTTGTTTTTCTATTGAGTTTTAAATTCAAAAGGGGAAACAAATACCTTTTAAGGACAAATTGAAAGACACTATTTGAAAAACACACTTGAATTTCAGTGTCAACCCCACTTAGTTGATCCGTTTAACCAAGAAATATCAGTAACTTCTCATAAAAGTAGCTGATATTTGATGTTTTATTTTTGCCTTAGCCCCCCAACAAAAAAAGGCAAGTACAGTAACAGAATTGCATACAATTCATTATGATTTTTAAGTAAATGATGACCTGAATAAAACTTTTTGAGCTGTAGGATATTTCTGTAGCAATCCTTAAATAAGTGTTTGTTGAATAAGTGTGTCGAAAATAAAATTCAGAGATTCTTTAGGGATATAAATGCAAAGTTTTAGTTGTCAGTATGGTGGGTTAGTTTAATGCACCGCTAGTTAGGTGGGTTTATTGCTCATTTTCTGTCTACTGTTCCTACAAGATAAGTCTAATATTTACTGTTTAATGTCAAATATCTGGCAACTTTTGTGCTTTGCTCTTTACACTTATTCCAAATTGTCTTCTTTTTTGCCTATTTGTATATTTTCAGAAATTGGGAGAATACCCAAAAGTTTCATCAAAATTACACCAAATACTATTTTAACATGTTTCTACTCCAGATAAAGTAGAGAGTAATCATAAAAGAAGTTACTTAAAGTCTTAGGGAAATCGTATTTAAATATCAAATCATTCAAGCTTTAACATGTATATAAATGTACTCTTAATCAGATGATATTGCCCCCGTCCACACGAAGTCCAAACGAACATGAAACGCTAATATTTTCCAGAACGTTTGTCGTAAAGATGGAGACGTAAAATAAATGTGATCGTCCACACGAATGCATGAAAACGCTGCAAAATGTATGCCAGGCCTGTAAGTGGCGCTGTGGTGCCAAAGCAAAAATAGGCGAAAACAGGCCACGAAATGTTGGGCATGTGCACTAATATTTATACATGGTTGCCCTGCGGGTCAATTTTCGTAGTTCAGTCAAATTCACGTGCTGAACTATGTCGTCGATATTGCTCTGTTCTTCCTGGAGATATTCCAGAAGAAGAAGATTCTGTTGTAAGCCCGACAGCAGGGTGAGTAGCATGAGCAGCAACCATTCAACACAGTACGGCGCCATTGTTGTTGTGATACTGTGTCGCGCATGCGTGTTTAGAGGCGACGCTATGACGCATGCGTGTAAAAAAAAAAATGCGGTTAGAGCTTGAAGATGGAAACGCGTAAACGGCGTTTCAAAATCTTCCCACTCTGAAGGCTTAATAAAAAAAGATCGTTTACAGACCCCCGAAACGCCAGCTTCGTATGGATGAGAGGCCGGTTTGGTGAAAAATTTGTGCGTTTAGGCCAGGGTTTGACTTCGTGTGGACGGGGGCCATTGTCCCAAAAGTTAGAAAATTTCTATAAAAAAAAAAAAAAAAAAAGAATCCTGTCTTAAAATCTGTGGGGGGGGTTTTCTCGTTATCTAATGCAGGCCAGTTAGTTATACGTCAGCTTTTACACCTAAATTCGGCAAATCATATATCAACAGTCATCTGTCAATCACATTTTCTCGTCATCTTGGTTCAAATGTCACAGCTAATATATGCAACAGTTGAAATAAGAATCATTTCCTTTCCCATTGAGTTCCGTCCCAGTGTTCACGGGGATGGACGTCTGTGTCTTCAGCAGGCGTAGAGCTAACAGAACTGGCAGCGTTGCGAGGCAAGGGCTCAAACATGTACGGCTGGAAGCCTTCTACACCAAACCAAGCTTCTGCCGCCCTGGCGTCCTCTTCCACAACATCTTCGTCCCCGCTTTCCTCCTCTAAATAAAATGTATGATGGCGGAGACTCATCCACGACCTCCGACACAAAATTCTCCTCCTCTTGCATGTTTCCTCTGTCCATAGCGTTCCGTAACAGTGTCGTTTCTAAGTCACCAATCTAGTGCTACTTGGTCCCAATGGAATTTCCCATTGGGAACCTACTAGCACTAAGTTGCTAACTGATTAGCAAGATGCTTCCAACAAACCGGCCACAATCAAACTTGCTTCCAAACCTTTCACCACAACAATCCCGCCCCCTTGATAAACGACAAATCACGTTCACTTTATTCACTCGTGTAAAGTCGTGCACCACTCGGGAGAATTCGGAAATGCAACGGTTGGAACAGCCGCTTCCATACGACTTTAAGTAGGCATCAAACAGTACCTCAAATGGCTACTTAGCCATTGCATACTTGTTGGCTCCTGAATTCTGATTCAATGTTCAAAACTATTTAATCAGAATGTTAGGAATAAATTCTGATATTTTAAAAATTTTTCAATCAAAAATTTCTACACAAACTTTTAAAACTAATTCTAAAGTAAAAGAAAAGGTACAGTAAACAACAAATACCCCAGCAAATATTTGTTGAGGTACATGTAACTGAGTAAATATGACCAGTTTTAGCTCTGCATATTTACATAAAAAATACCATTTTATTTCCCTCAAACTTTCTAAATTTCTATTAAAATGATGCGTATGTTGACCACGGTCAGATTCCTGGTTTGTGTTTACAGACCTGTCGAATACAGCTGACCCTGATGGCAAACTTTTAAGGTCAACTTTGTGAAACCTTCACATACATTCCCACTGGCATCCAACCAACGCTTACAGTTTAATACCATAGCATCGTGTGCCTGAATGTTTTGCTTTAAACTAAAGATCTGGATGTTATTGTGTGTTTTCCAGCAGCATCACCCAAGATCATCAAGCTACGAGAGGAATCATCGGATTACGCCGAAGCACAGAGAGGAAAGAGTCCAGGCATCAACAGCGCCTTGGTCCCTGTTAAGGGAATCATAAACCTCGGTAACACCTGCTTCTTTAATGCAGTTATGCAGGTTGGTATATAAACTGTTATTATTTTGACTTTTATTAACGAAAGGATGAGCATTTAAAAAGCTGGCTTTACTATAATGCTGTCAGGGTTTTGGTCATTTTTGTTTTATTTAAGCTCAAATTAATGTTTTTTTGAAGCAGAATCTCTTGGTAAAGTGGAGCTCTTATTGCAAACAACCTGCTAACAAATTATCGTTCCACTTACAGAAGCGATTAGCCTAATGAATCACAAGTATTTCCATTCTGCCTCAGTGGTAGATATCTGTAGAAGGTGTAAACACTCATCATGTTTCTCTATTCATGAGGCTGGTTTAAAGAGAAGCTGAGCACAGCTTTACATTAACTGAGAGTATACGTACGTAGCTAAATAAAGGGCAGCAGTTCATGCGGCGTTGGCTTGGAAACATTCACCTCGCCGTCATGCAAACAGCAGCGCGATAAAGCCTCCTCTGTGTTTCTGTGGTCATGTCATGGTGACTGCAAACTGACATGCCTCTGCAACAATGAAGCTGTTTTTTTCAGCCATTTTGTTAATCACCCTCAGGGTCTCGTCGGTTGATTGAAATTGGAGTGAGCGAGCTTTTCATGCTTCTCCCTCCCTCTCTGAGTGTTTGTATTGTCTCCTTGAAAATTGCAATCTTTTTTTTTTTTGAAAACGCATAATTGTCAGAGGATGAGCAGTGTCTGCATTCACAGCTCCGCTTCATTGTGTGTTTTGCATAGAAACTGTTTATTTGGCAGGATGTGAAAAAAAAACAAATACAGGTTTGAAAGGAGAGGGGGAAAAAACGCCTGTATAACTATTTTTTTTTTCTTTTCTTTTTTTTATCCTCTCCAAGGATTGTTTTAATGGAGAAACATCACCAACCATAAATCACTTTTGAAAGCCTCTTAAACAATAATAAGCTCACCAGAAGTTTGCAAATGCTGCAGAAATGGACATAGCAATTGGAACAGGTGTTACATGCAGCATTTTAGCATGATACAAGTATTCTTTGCTTTAATCAGTTATAAGTTGTTACATTCATGCTACTTTTGCGCAGTTTCTTCCTGAGTCCGTTAAATAACATGCTGCTGTCATTTTTCACATTTCTGATGTTGCTGCTATTTTTAAATATCCATTACTGTAAAAATTTCCATAGCTGTATATTGGTTATTTATTCTCCAAGTGCACAGTTTTTATATTGTTAAAACACTTTACAGTGCAGTGTTTCGTTTGTTTATTTGTCTTAACTCTTCACTATTATTTTATTCTTATAAATTTTTTCTAAGGTCCACATTTCTGTAACCAGAAACCACATTGCTGTAAACACCAGAATGTCCAGATTGTGGGACATTAAAGGGATTTTTTTTATTCTATTCTATTTTATTCTAATCTATTCTGTTCTATTTTATTCTAATCAACCAGAGGTGCATCGAACGGATGTTTCTGAGGCACTTTTCAGCTTTTGGTTTCTGTAAACCTGCCATTACAATTTTGGGTTTCTCTTAGGATTTATTACTGACTGTTTAAAACATTTGATTTTCTGTTGCTGTGAGAAGAAGCCGAGCCAATGATAAACAGGTTTTTTAACATAAACAAAATTTATATTTTAAATATCCTTCAAACATAGCATGTCAAACAAACATGGTTGACATGCTATGTAGACCCTATGCCTAACTGCAAAATCCCTATATAGGGATTTAACACCAGTTTACCATGTCGACCTAAATATGTTGGAATTTTTAGCTTCAAAATTGCTTTCTGTGATACGTAAAAAAAAAAAATCATAATTACTTCAAAAATTTTATATCCATTTTTTATATTTACTCATGGAGATCATAATTGTTTCCCTAGCACAGTGCATGCTGGGTAAATGACATGGGTATGTCTGACTGGACTGGGACCTGCAGGGAGATCAACTGTTTAGTATATTAGCCAGAGCTAACACCATTAGCAGAAGCTAATGTGAAATCAAAAAGGGAAGATGGGGAACGACTGTTTAAAGTGACAGTGAAGAATCTTTCTTTCTTTGTAACACATCGTTCTAATATATCTGAAAAAATGTTTTTGACCCCAATGCTAACTATAAACTAGCCTGACGTAGTCCGACTCAATTCTAGTCAGAATATGAGTCTGATACTGCTCCATAGAGCTGTGATTATGGGGCGTGTTTCGAACGAACCAGGAAAAAAAATGCCTCTGCACTCAATTGGATAGATCTACAACCAATAAGAGCAACGGAGTGCGTGACGTGTGTTAAGCGAGGCATAGTTGTTGTCCACAAAAATCAAAGCGTGCAGTTTCACGCCTAGAATAAGAAGATGAGACTTGATCGCGTTTCTCTGTTCCTCTTTTAAAATTAATTTGCTGTCGATGTCTTCTAGAACAGACTTAATAGCAGAATCTACTCACCCAAACTCTCCAGCGGCAGCCATTATTGTTGTCACCCTAGCGCGCTTTGGTCACGTGGTTGATTACGTTACTGTTGATCATCTGTCCATCGTATAAAGTCCGCCCTGACAATTTGATTGGATCGCCTGACAGTGGGCGATAATACTCGCGCTACTATGGAGCAGAGCCAGACCGAACTTCCCCGAACTCAAACCTTGTGGGCGGGACTAAGTTCTGACTGGCACCTAGGCTAACTATAAACAGCCCCAATTAGAAACTGGAGCTCTTTTGAGCCTGCATAATGTTTTGATTTGCTTTCAGGGCAGCTAAACCTAGAAGTTATGGGTCTAGCTCAGCTAGTGGCTAAAATGTACGCAGCGCTTCTTTAGATAAGAGTAAACAGACTGTTAAACATGATTTACTGAAATAACGACCCAACCAGGAAGGTAATAACTACATTAGAGGTAGACCAATACATCAATATTTTGGGGCGATATTGCTTTTTTTTTTTTTTATCTCTTTCATTGTTTATATGTTTTTTTAGATTTTTTTTAATCGATGTATCTTTTTGTTTTAAATTGAGCAACATTTGTTTTAATTGTATCGTTTTTATCGTGTAAATGCAGCAATATGTTCGTAAAGGGTCAACTCAAAGAATCAGCAGGTATTGCCGTCAACTTCAAAAAGCGTATCTTTATTGTACCCAAATGATAAATATGTTGCATTTTAGATGAAAAAAAACCTACATGACTTCAAACTCTGTGCAGAACTCCTTTAGGGACATTTCCCATTCCGAACCTTTTGCTGTCTGATTATAAATCTGTTAATGGTAAGAAAACAGGCAAATGATTAGCTAAATGGTTGTTAGTTGTTGTCTTACTAACAACTGATACCAAAAATATGTAACTTTGAGGTTTATTCTGTCAACAACTGCTGCACTGAATAGTGTTGCTGGTAGAACATAATGAATTTGGTTGTAATTTTTGTAGTGCAGCTAATCAAATCTGTGTGTCTGAGGGTTTGGAGTGGCATACTGTATATTTTCATTTGAAGTAACGCTTTAAAAACCGTTTGTTTTTCTTGCTGTGAAACAGAACCTGTCCCAGACGCACATGCTCATTGACCTCATTCAGGAAGTGAAGGAGAAAGGCTACAAGCTGAAGATCTGTCCGCCTGTCGAGACGAATCTGGTACAGTCTGCTGTGGTTTACTCTCTCTCTCTCTCTGAAGATAAACGTTCAAACTCATCGGCCTCGGCTGTTACTTAAAATCTTTCATCTTTTTCTTTTCTCCAAAAAACAGTCATCACTAAAACTAGGTCATTTTATGATTTAACTTTTTTTGGATTCAAACTATATCAGCTTTGTTGGATGAAATTGAAAATAAATTCTGATAAATTTATTATAATACCAGGATGTTGCTTCTCAAAGCTCTATTAAAGGTGCAGTTTAGACTTCTTTAATTGAATGACGGTAACTTTTCACTCTGTCTTTGAGTTAATAATAAAGATTTGTCTCTTCCTGTTGCAGAATCCGCTGTCGGTGGTCTTGTGCAGTCCAGATCCGCTGACGTCAGCCATGATTCACTTCCTGCAGAGCATGAAGGAGCCAGGGAAAGGCCCTGTCAATCCCAAAGTCCTCTTTAACCAGCTCTGCCAGAAGTACGATCTAACCCCTTTATGTTATCATCATCGTTATTTATTCAGAGCATAAAATGTGAAGTACGACAAATATACAGTACATAGAAATTAACATATAATAGTATTTTGCTTGAAAATTAGGGGGAAGAAGAAAATGTATTTAATCCCAACCCTTTTCATTCCTACAAAGGATTTTTAAAAACATGACTGCTTCACATCTACATAGTTTTTCCTTTTCTTAAAGGTGGTGTTTTTTTTATCAGAAACTTCTCCCTCATGATGATCCTATAAAAGCAAAGGATCATGTTAATAATTTAAGGGATCTACCTGCAGTAGTGATGTTAATGCAAGCACATATTAATAATTATTTGTTCCCTACAAGCTAAAGTTTTTAAAATGATAGTCTGAAGTAGTCAGACCATAGCAGAGGTCACAGATTAGCGGACCGCAGTCCGGATCCGGACCCGCCTGCTGGCTAATCTGGTCCCAACCTCATTTAAAACATTTATAAATTACAGCATGTTGTCCGACGACAGTGTCTAACTTCACTTGCGCTTCTTCTCCTGTTAATACGGTAAAGCCGTCCCGAGCGTCCGGGACCAGGCTGCATGTGATACAGATGATCCAATGAGCTGCTGTCAGTCTGGGTTGCTGCTGCTGATACTTTTAGACACAGCAGGCAAACCTGTGGCAAGCCGGGCGATGGGAAAGAAGGAGAAGACGATGAGAAAAAGAGAACAGATAAAGTGTGGACTGCTGAAAATGCTGCGGTGAAGTGGAAAAGTGAAATTATGTGCTCAAAGATGACCCCGGACATTTTGAGTATGTTTGGCTCAACCTGCTGCTGTGAAGCAGGATTCTCCACCATGAACAGAATTGAAAATAAATGTGGATCCAGGCTCAAAATGAGCACCTTGATATGTGCTTTAGAATGGCTTTGTCTCCATTCAAACCCAGGTTTAAAGCCTAAAGCCCACTGCTCTCATTAAGCCAGAAAAAATAAACGGTCAGTTCAGGTGTTTTATAAAATATCTGAATCAGGAAATTCTCTATATACCAAACTGAACGATTGTTGTTCTCTACTTCAAAAAACACTTTAGATTTTAAAATGGAAACATTTTCTATTTTTTTTATAAAAGGTTTTATTTAAAAAGTCAATGTATAACATGGATGCATAAACACCTCTTTTTATTTCAGTTTTAAAATCTGTTTAAATTAACAGATTTTAGTTAAAAATGTTTCCGGACCTTTACTGGCTGATTTTCTTTATTCCCCCGCTGATTTTTTTATTGGTTACCCCTGGACTATAGTCTTCCCATCACAGCCTCAGCAGTTTATAAATTCCCAGCCTTTGCTTTTCACCTGCTTTCTTCCCATTTCTAACCAGGTAACACCTGGTCCCAGCAGCGTCCCCTCATGATGCTCCATCCTCGCTCTGAACAATTCACACTGTGCTTTATTAAATGTCCTCCAGCCAGCTGATTGTTGGCTGTCTGCTGTTTGCCACCTGTGTCATGTTTGATGTGGATCAAGGCCTGCTGCTCTGTGTGACCGGCCAAAGCCTTTGCTTTTATGAGCTGAACAGCAATGTTCTCTTTTATAATACGTGGTCGAGTGACTTCCTGTCGGAGCATGGTGTACTGCTGGTTGGATCCAGCTCGCCTGTGTGTGCGTGGCGGGTCTCGCACTGTTTAGTAGTGCAGGTGGGTAACCGGGACGTTTAATGTTGGATGAGTGGCTGCGTCTCTGGTGTAGTTATTCTGGCAGCTAGTCGGGGGGCTGCCTGACGCGTGCGTCGGTGTGAGCGTGGACTGCCACCTCACCTGGCACCGTCTAAAGCTGCAACACAAACGCAGGCAGCGGTGCATTCAAACATCACCCACACCTTTATGCACTCATTTGTTTAATTAAAACGGGGTTCAGCTATTCCACTGACACGCGTTTCTGAAGAGTGATGTAGTTTGAAGCCTCAGCACCCTGTTAGACACCATGTTTCCTTCCAAACACAAAATATTTAAGAACTCTGGATCCTCTAGTATTCACTGAGAAATTGTTTTTCTCCATATTGGCTTGGAAATGAAAAACAGACATATTTTCACCTGTATTCTGTGGAACTATGCACACAAATTCCTCAGTTTAATAAGTTTTAAGACAAAGCACCATGAAAGAACCAGAAGACCTGCAGAGTATTTGTCATTTGTATCCAGCCATGCAGGTCCTGGCACCTTGTGCCAGAAATCCAATAGAATTCCTCGGTGTGACCTTGTTATTTTAGTGGAAATACCTCCCAGCTCCAATCAGTGGTGCCTATCGATCCCGGCTGACAAATATATTGTACCCAAATTGCTTAACGTGTTTCACAGCAAAACATGAGTGTAAAACTGATAAAGAAGCAGCAAGACTGACAGTGGGAGGTGTTTCTGCTTTTAAAAGGTGGATCTGTTAGCGTTGAATCCCTGTTAAGCTTTCAAACATGTTGGGGCTCTGATGTTTTTTTTTACTCTCTTAAGCAGAAATCCTTGAGGGTGTTTGCAGTTTGCACCAGCTAACAGAACAATTCCTCTGATCCAAAACATTGGAGCAGGTTAGATGTGATTCCTTTGAAAGGGGACATTGCATTCATGACAGTTCAGTTAAGGTTATGTATCAACTCTAGTCCCCTGGAAATGAAGTTAAAAAAAAAGAATAGATAAATAATGAAATAAGTGCCTTTTAGCAGCTGAGGTCTTCATGTTATAGATATATGGTTGGAAGTGGTAACTCGTACAATCTTTCTGCTTTAGTTATACTAATATATAGCTTTCAGCACAAAAAAGCAGATCAATAAATACAGGACACCTTAAATCCACGATAAAGACAGATAATATGGAAGAGGATTTGTATAGAAGAGGATTAGGCCCACAATATTTCAGTTTAATATGGGAGAAAAGGCAGAAATCTGACTTTCATCTCAGGATTCTGACTTTGTTAGCTGTCAGAATTCAATCAGAATTGACTAGCTCTCTTGTTTTAATCACCTTCTGCTCTTCCATTAATGGGATGGCATCACCAGGGACCCCTCGGGTCCTCTAATTCCATCATTTTCCACCAACGTGTCACTGGCACTCCCAAACAACTCACCTTTGTCAGTGAAGCTGGGTTCTCCTACTTCTCTTCTTTCATGGTGCCCATCTAGATTAAAATCCAAAATTCTGAGATTAAAGAGAGCATTCTGAGAAAAAAAATTCAGAATTCTGAGTTTAGTCTAAGAATTCTGAGAAAAAAATTCAGAATTCTGGGAATTAAGTCAGAATTCTGAAATTAAATTTAGAATTCTTAGATTAAAGTCAGAATTCTGTGATTAAAGTCAGAATTCTGGGGGGGGAAAAGTCAGAATTCTGACTTTTTTCAATATTAAACTTAAATGATATTTTAAAATCAGTAAAAAAAAATTCCCAGTGGCCCTAATCCTCTTCCATAGATAATCATCCTTATTAATTGTGTAAGAAAATTGTTTTATGTTGTTATATTGCATTTCAATATTTCAATCGACGAATTTGTATTAATTCAAACTACGGCGAAATGGATCTTAAATGTGAAGACAACTTATAGGCAAACATCCGTTTTGATTGTCTTCCTTTTATATCACCCTTAAACCTCCAGCTACTAGTTGGCAGCGCACTGCCCAAGAACCCCATTATTCAGCTGTTCTGAACCAACCACAGCAGAACAACAACAAGATCTCATGAGGTTATAAAACTGTAATATAATATAAACGTATGTATCGGGATAAATCATATCCTGATGCATAGATTGTGATATGTATCGTAGCGCCAAATTCTACCCATTCCTATTCGATAATACTGTTCTTAACAATACTCCTCATTGATCTGGCATATTGATATCCTTATCGATAACTTTAGTTATTTTATTTAACCAAACAGAAAAAGCTTAAAGAGATCAAATAAAATACAGTAATGGGCATAGTTTATTTGGAAAAAAGTACACAAAATGAATTAAAAGTTAATAAATAAATGACTTTTTAATATTAATGTATAAATGTATATGTACTACATTAATGTATTAATGTATAAGTACTAAATAGCTAATTGTATATACAAACAAAAAAGGCTAAAACAGTATATACACTATATTGCCAAAAGTATTTGCTCACCCATCCAAATTATTGGAATCAGGTGTTCCAATCACTTCCATGGCCACAGGTGTATAAATTCAAGCACCTAGGCATGCAGACTGTTTTTACAAACATTTGTAAAAGAATGGGTCGCTCTCAGGAGCTCAGTGAATTCCAGCGTGGAACTGTGATAGGATGCCACCTGTGCAACAAATCCAGTCGTGAAATTTCCTCGCTCCTAAATATTCCACAGTCAACTGTCAGCTGTATTATAAGAAAATGGAAGTGTTTGGGAACGACAGCAACTCAGCCACGAAGTGGTAGGCCACGTAAACTGACGGAGCGGGGTCAGCGGATGCTGACGCGCATAGTGCGAAGAGGTCGCCAACTTTCTGCAGAGTCAATCACTACAGACCTCCAAACTTCATGTGGCCTTCAGATTAGCTCAAGAACAGTGCGCAGAGAGCTTCATGGAATGGGTTTCCATGGTCGAGCAGCTGCATCCAAGCCATACATCACCAAGTGCAATGCAAAGCGTCGGATGCGGTGGTGTAAAGCACGCCGCCACTGGACTCTAGAGCAGTGGAGACGCGTTCTCTGGAGTGACGAATCGCGCTTCTCCATCTGGCAATCTGATGGACGGGTCTGGGTTTGGCGGTTGCCAGGAGAACGGTACTTGTCTGACTGCATTGTGCCAAGTGTAAAGTTTGGTGGAGGGGGGATTATGGTGTGGGGTTGTTTTTCAGGAGCTGGGCTTGGCCCCTTAGTTCCAGTGAAAGGAACTCTGAATGCTTCAGCATACCAAGACATTTTGGACAATTCCATGCTCCCAACTTTGTGGGAACAGTTTGGAGCTGGCCCCTTCCTCTTCCAACATGACTGTGCACCAGTGCACAAAGCAAGGTCC